CCTTTCCAATATTTCCTTCTCTCTTGCACTTTCGAACAGACTCTGTTCACGCAGTTCTCGTTCGCGTAAAACGAATCTACGTGGAACGGAGTCACTTCGGCCGGTGTATTTATTTTGGACAAACGGTGAGGTAGATCGTACCTCGCCTGGCAAAACGAATTCTCTGTCTGTGTTCTCCAAATGGTTCCGAGGGATTCTTGAAAAATTCATTAAATCCTCGGTACGATAATTACCAACGAGCAGCCGACTCGGGGGGGGGGGGAGAGGGGGAAATTTCACCTGACGTAGCGAAGATGCGAGAGCCGGCCGGTTCCCTTTTGAACTCGACCGCCAAGATTACGCGGTCTGAAACCGATTACTAGCTCAAACATCAAAAGCCACTTATCATTCGTGGAAATATCCACCTCTCTATTTTCCTATAAAAACCGTCCCTTTATGCTGCCGGCGTGCGCGATGGAAGGCATTAAATGGGAGGGTCGGCAATGGAGAATTACCAGTAAAATACACCCTTTATTATTTCGTGCTCGTTCCTGCTCGTGCCCACCCCTTCCGATCCTCTCGAAACTGGAAATACATTTTATTGTACGAACAGAACTCACACACACGTAGATACGTGCGTGCGTACATTGAATTGCCTTATTCCATTTCGTACGGTGTCCGCTCAGTCGGCAATGGGATTTCATTGATCTTCGTCGTATAGAATGGAACAATCTGTTTACTCGTACGACCAAATACGACCATTAATGTTTCTCGGCCTGAAAAACTAGCGCGAATATAGCTGTATCCGCTTGTATGTCTTTTGTACATGGCTTCGGACACGAATAATAATAACACGCCGCGTTTGCCCATTGCAATACCGTCTTGTTCCTCGTTTGTAATTAACAAATAGCCGTTGGGCATGCGCGAGCATTTAATTATAGCAGATTAATCAATTGGGTGACTGTGTGAATATTGCGAAAGGTTTCGCGATTAAAAAGGCGCGCTTTTTTTGGAAACGTCCAACATTTCTAGAGTTAGTTTCACTCGAGTTTTCTTCTCGAAAGTGTCGCGTCTGAAAAACACGAGTGAATAAAAGGGGGATATATTTTATCGTTTCGTTCGGTACGCGTGGCTTTTCCAAGGGAAAGTTTGGACGGAAAATGTAGAAAATGGCTGGGCGAGGAGGCAGCGGCGAGTGCATTTATGCAAAGCTTTTGTGATTCGCAGTGACGAAACAACGAATTTCTGACGTTCTAGAGAATTTCCACGGGGCTTTCGTGGAAAGTTGCTCTTGAAGGAGCAGCCCCCCGTTAAATTCAGTACGTTACGCTCCGGGCGAAAGTTGTTAGTCTCATTTCGCGTGCCGAGGATCCTCCTATTCGTCGTCGCAATGCGCGCGATCCGATAAGGGCATTGAATCGAGCCGAGTTTATGACACGCTCGTGCCTCGCGATTCGTTAATTTTCAGGCTCTGCCGAATTTTTCCGCGTCCTCGATATATCACCGGTTGCTTAAATCACAGCTGGTGAAAGCTCGAGCCTGATCGTGCCGCGAGAATGCTGCTTCCATGCAGAACTGCAGTTCCGTAAAATCGTGCCAATGTGTAAAAAATTGCGACTAAAAAAATGAAGTGAAAAATGCTATGCAGAGTTTTGCACCTCGAGACTAGTTTGCAGATCACTTTTTTGCACTATAAATTAACCCTCATCCTTTCGCAGATTAAATTCACCTAGAAATTTATTTCCTTAAGCCATTGCAATAAAAGCCGAATCCGATGTGAAGTTGTTACTCCTAGATGAAAATTTTATTGCATTAATGTAATAATACTTGAATGAAAAACAACATAAAATGACGCGAAATTTAACAGTAAAAGTATATATATGTGTGTGTGTGTGTGTGTGTAGATTCATCTAAAAGTTTTATATACTTATACAATAATTATGACAGTCTGATTAATGACAGTAAATGTTCGAAGGATCAGCTTTTATATTTCTTGTACAGAATTTAACTTTTGGAGAAACTTCAATGACGAGTATGGTGGTAAAAAATAGTAAAGTGTGTTTTGCCTGACCAAAAATCACGCACTTGTTGAATTTCGTGCAGGCTTACATTAATCGTACAAATAATTACGAGTAAAATTACAAAATACTACAGAATAATATTGTGTCACTTCACTTTTGAGTCGTTTGCAAAGGTTAGGTTAGGTTTAGGTTAGGTTCGGGTCAAGTTCACAGATTTCATCTAAAAAGCTGAACATAATCTACAAAAGTATTAATTTGGGAGTGCAAAAGATAATCGGTAATGAGTAGAATAATTGACGATGCAGGCTTACATTGATCGTACAAATAATTAGAAGTAAAATTACAAAATACTTCACTTTTGAGTCGTTCGCAAAAGTTAGGTTAGATTCAGGTTTAGGTTCGGGTCGAGTTCACAGATTTGATCTAAAAAGCTGAACATAATCTAAAAAAGGATTAATTTGGAAGTGCAAAAGAGTAGAATAATTGACGATGCAGGCTTATATTAATCGTACAAATAATTGGAAGTAAAATTACAAAATACTTCACTTTTGAGTCGTTCGCAAAGGTTAGGTTAGGCTTAGGTTAGGTTTAGGTTTAGGTTCGAGTTGAGTTCACAGATTTG